TTTCTCTTATTTTATCTAATACATTACAAGCAATATTTTTTCATCTGTGTACTTGGCATAATGCCTCTTCAGGAAGAGGTTACATACATATGCAGAGTTAGCAGCCCTTGTTAAAAGACCTAGCGGAACGAACTCTCAGCAGCAGAAAAATAATGCAGTACAGCCTTACATGTTGCAGCAGAGGCAAATAAAAATCAAAGCAGGGCAAAGTCAGATAAAAGCAAGCGACACTGGGGTTATTGATCCCTCAAAAATGTCGAGCAATCCGGGGAAGAAAAAATCCTTCTTGGCCACTGGGTGTCAGCCTGGAGTTACCCGGTGTACGAGCGGCGTGCACGGGCACACCGCTCCTCCCGGAGAAGCCTCACGTCCTACGCCACGTAGCTCTGCTGATGCTAGCAGAGCTGTGCTGAATTACACCACTTGAAGATACAGCCAGTGAATTTAAGGACATGTCTAAACTGATGACAGGGAAGTAATTCCTGTACAGTGATAATATGTTTGTGGTAATAACATTGGTCAGTGTAGGCAATTTGTTACATCTTGATTATCCATCCACAGCTTCCTGAAGTGCCATGGAAACAAGGGAACATGATTTTGAGATCTTGACAGAAGCCCTTGTCCACCAGACAGGTCAGACATTTGTGAGCCAAAGGGAACTGCCCCCAAAGACGCACAAGTGAGCGCTCACAAAACCCGCATAATGCTGCCATGTGCTATGTCTCACCTATCAGCAACACCACTGGTACCACAAAATGACAGAACCAGCTTCTTCCAAGCTGCAAGTTTCAGAAAAGGTCCCACAGATACATATAAGGGAGCCAATGATAAAACAAGAAAACCTGCCAATACCACTTCCCCATCATTTACATAGCAAATTCTAGTCACACGCCAAGGGCATCAGTGGGAGCTTAATAAACTATTGAACTGCCATATGCAATTAAAACACTTCTTGTCTCTTTCACACAAAGAATACAACAAACCCAGTCTCTCCAAGAACTGTTAGGTCTTTCACACAAAAACTATAGCATCCATAATATTTTGTTTCTAGCACTTTTAGTGAGGGAGGAACAGACAAATTCCAACACCCACTCCTGTGTCTCACATGAGCTTCCCATTATGGGGCTGCTTTTCTCAGAGCGTTGACACTGCTGTTACCAGATCATAAACAAAACCACATATTCTTAAGGTAGGCATATGAAGAGGACTAGCCCTGAAGAAAGTCAGACTTAGAGCACAAAGCATGGCATTTCACTTTGTCAGCAGCTCCTTCCATCTGAGAATGCTCTAAGCTTCATCTGCTGCCCCATTCCTTGGTTTTTTCCCTAAGCTTCCATGGGCCCTCTGTCAGTCTGAATCCACAGCTACACAGAGAATATGATCTTCTCCTCCATTCCCCCTCCTTTTCCCCTGCAACCTTCTAGCCACAGTTATTTTTCTGAGGTACAGTTTGGGTTTGTTTGTTTTTAATTCTTAAGCTAGTAACAACAGGATACTTTATCTGGCTATGGCAGGAGCCCTAGCTGTACATCAAGGCCAAAGCTAGCCCTAAGTACTCTTCCAAAATTCTTCAAAAACAGCACACCAGTCTCCAGAGAGAAAGCTTTTCTTCTATCCTTCCTACTTCTACATCCTCCATTCAGGTCATTTTCTTTATAAAAATACTTAAAAAGAACTCATAGACTTGCCTCATCTTCTTCCTTAGGGCAGTACAACATTCAAGCACATACACAAAACTCTCAATACATAACCCCACCATCTGTGCAAGTCAAGCTTCATAACTATAAACAGGGCTTGTCCCACAGAATCAATGTAAAACCCCCAAACCCTCCTTGCTTACCTAACACAACTAAGCCAGCTACAGGAACCACAGCTCTACACTTAGATACCTCCCAGCAGCCTCCTCTCACAGGATTTAAGCAACCAGACCACTTAGATATGCAAACCAGCTGGTGGCAGCTCCGCCTCTTTTTCACAACTACCAAACAAGCAGCACCTGCCCTCACATTTTGCCCACCCAGGGCTGATACAGGTGCTAACCCTCACTTTGGTCAGCATCGCATCTACCTCAGCAAAAGGCTCTCATACCCGTTTCTGACAGGTGCTTTATCTCTGTTCGTTGTAGAAAGCCTGATACCCTGACATAGATCTTTTCCCTATGCAGTAACGAGCTGTGTTACCACTCTCCTTTCAGACTAAGAGAGAAATCGAAAGACTCACACTTGCCCCCCCAACTCCCCTTGAGTTTAGGTATGGAAGCCCAAAATATCTATCTACAAAACACTTGGTTCTGCTCCTGTCTAGCCCTAGAGAAGCTTTGACTTCCAAGGGATCTCCACTTCCTCCAGGTCTGATCAGGATTTGACAGCAGGACCGAGGAGGTACCATTTGCCCATGTCTCTGTATTATCCACATTAGAGGTGCTGAAGCTGAGCATAGCCAGGTGTGGGAAGGAGAACACTCCCAGAGTTTTAATCATCAATGCAACAGGTGCCTGACTAATTTGTAATTCAGATGTTTCCACTTCTGTCAAAAGTCTGTTAATCATGGTGTTTGTTGTTTTCCCTTGAAACCTATCCTACTGCTTTTCTTGGTCTTTCCTCAGGTTGTTTGCTTTTGCTAAGAATTTTTTGAGGACAAATTTAAGTCTTTAAGCAATGAAGAACAGCTTGAAAGCCTTACTTAAGCACACTTGCACTCTCCTGACCTGTTCCCCCCATGGTTGATGCAACACCTGAAGCTGCTCTGCTAACCAGCAGTTAGTACTCAGAGAACAGGTGTGCTGCTACAGCCTGAGAGGATTTGAGAGGGAAGGCTGGGAGCTTATGCTCCTAAGGTCTTTAGTTTAGCTCTTGCTCGTGTGGGGGCCTGCTCCGACTGAGGAAGGCTCTTCCTTTTGAGCTCCTATTCAGGTTTTAGAGTTTGTGTTGCTGTTCACGGAAGGAAACAGAAAACACGAGTGTAGTTGGAGTTATGTTTTCTAGCAAGTTTCTTTGGAAGATGAAGGGGTTAGACTCTAGTGGCTCAAGTGAGTTTGCTAAGGATGGTGAGAGGGGGAAATCTGTTTTATAGGCATTGTTTGATATTTCTCAGGGCAGAAAATATAAGGGATGAAACTTGGTGTGGCTTATTGCTTTGTCTTTTGTGAAGCTGCTCTAAATTTTTAGAGGTCTTCGAACTCAGATGTCGCCTGTGTGGGATACAAAGACGTCTCCGCGCAGTGCTGTGTGAGTGCTGTAAAGCAAACCGCTTCTAAAGCTGCTGTCGTATGTGTTTAGTATGCTCGGCGCACGAAGGATGCGCTTAAAACCAGAAGCTACAGTCAGCTTGAGTTTTCGCCACAAGGTGGCATTCTCTAAGCTTTTTTTGCTAAGGAAAACTAAAACTTGCCATCCGTAATAATAACAATAATAATTAAGGGGGGGGGGGGAAACCTTAAGCCCTCCCTGTATTTTCTGAAGCCTGTGACAAAGCAACATTTGTTAGGAGGCTGCTCCTCCTCTTGCAAAACAATGGTGCTGCTTTCAGAAAGCCGCAAGTGAGACTGAGGGTCAAGTCCCTTTAAAAAAAAAAAAAAAGTGAAATACAGTATTGTGCATCTTGAAATCTGAAACCAAGAAACAGAAGTGCAAGGGAAACAAGGGGGAAAGTCTTGCAATTCCTGAGAACAACTGTTGCAAGTGGAGTTTTAAGGGATAAAATATACATATATACATTTAAAGGTCATTGGATGGCTTTTGTGGAGAAACCTGTGAAATAAAGGAGTCTTGGAAGAAAGGATTTCTTTCTCTCCTCCTCTCTGGATATAATGGCCATTGCAAAGCAAAGCATCTTGAGATTTGGCTTCAAATGTCTCTTCCTAGCAACTTTTATGCTAGCCTGTGATGGACAAGGTGGAAAGAGAGAGAATGGTGGTCCTGCCTGTTACGGAGGATTTGATTTGTATTTCATTCTAGACAAGTAAGTCAGTTCTACTCTGTTCTTTTTCAAAGCAGTCTTTCTCTAGGCATGAACTGGAATTGTATATACTGATACCGAGGAGGTTTTTATTTTTGATTTTGGTTTTGTAGAAGTCATTGTGTCCCTGAGGGACCTGCGAAACTCCTTACGACTCTGGCTTTGTTTTCGTTATGGTAACTTCTTTGGTAGGTCTAATATATAATCCCATTGTGCTTTGTAGATTTTGCTGTGGCTGATATAGAAGCTTTATTGTGTACTTGACCCTGTAGTCTCTTAAAAGAGTGGTTGGGAGAAGGGCAGCACCCTGGTCACCTCTGATTTCCCTATGAACCCTGAAGGTTGAGGCGCTCATGAAAGCAAGAATTGGAGAGTTATTATTGCAGGCATTAATTCTGTAGCTGAAAGCGTGGAGGAAACGCTCGCCTGCCTGGAGGTCTGCTTCTGTACCGCTTGCTCCTCAGCTCTGTACGTTCTAGAGCAGCAACTTGCAGGTAAAGACCCGGCTCTGAGAGGTGGCTAGTCTCTTTGAAAGGGTCTGATTTTGGCTGTTGTGATGGAAAACAGCTAGCGTGCCTGATTTAGAGAGCTTTATTTTCTCTACGCTGAGTCACATTTTCTTTGTTTCCTGTTAATCAAATGCATATTTTGACTGTTTAACTGTTTATACTGAAGATAACTTCCTACCTCACTTTTTTCATCACTAATTGTGATAGTGTCGTCTTCTTGGCACTGGTAAGTTTTTGCCTCTTTACAGGCCTTCAGATTGTAGATGGAGCAATGTGAAATAGATATGTGTTGGGCTTTGGAAAGCTTCATATTGAAGCAATATGACAGTTTATAAAAAAGTACTAGCTAAAATGGTTCTCCTAATTTTCTTGATTAAGAATAGTTATTTTGAACCCAAGGTTTGGAAATACTGGAGGATACGCATGCCAGAGCCACGGTACTAACATTATTAACCATAAATTTCAGAGACGGGAAAGTATTTGCAAGCTGCCAAGAGTGCTCGCAGATGAAGCTTTCTGACTGATCCTCTTGAGTGTTTTGCAGTAGCTCCCACATTCCATTAGTATAAATGACTTGGAATTACATAACACCCTATTACAAAATACTGGGTAAAATGTAAAACTGAGACACTGGCTATTTTAGTGTGCCAGTTGTCCTAATGCTCCAGGGGAAAGATTTTTTTTTTCTTGTTGTTTTAAATTTATTCAGTGGAAAGATCTACCTGTCTAATGTATTTTGTTGCTTTGGCTGTTCAGTTATTAGTTGGAATACTTCTATTGCCACATACAAAAAAAACCCAAAACAACAAATAAAACAGAGCATGATTTGCACTGCAGACAGCTTTTTGCAAACTGCATTTCACTGAAAGTTAAAGCAGGATTGAAGATTTTCTCAAATCTGATGGATGTGCTGTGTTATACCTCTGAGCTAATGTAATTTTAACAGCCACTTATTTCAAGTTCCGTGCTGTCCTCTTACTAAAAGGCATGACTTTCTAGCCTTGCTCAAGGGATGATGAATTTGGGTGGAAATGTGAGGCTTGACACAAACTTTAAAGGAAGCAGGCTTACCTTAGCATATGTATCAAGGTATCCAACAAAAAATCCTGCTTTAACAATTGCAAGATTCCTATTTCTGGGACTTCTCTGGTGGAGAATTGAACAGAGTCTGATGTAAAAATTTCCTTGGCCTCCAGTGGAATTTGGAGGAGAGTTACAGTGTTTAAGCTACTAGTGTGTAGAATATGTCGTGGACCTGACTGCTTAGCCTTTGAGAAGGCTGATGAGAGACTTGCAGTGGTGGAGTAGGTTATTCCATATCCTTTATCTTTAAAACTTTCTTTCATTCCTCAGAGGGTAAACTGAAGTTCTAAAAAAAAGTTGGATCTTATGTGGCCTGGGGTTTCTACCTTCTAATTGTCTAGAGAATGTTTTCAAAAATGCTGCTGAGGTGATGCCTATAGAGGCCTTCAGGCAAACTATGACATCATAGTAATAGATTCAGGGCTCACTGTTTTTCTTTGAAATAGCTCTAAAAATGATTAAAAATTATTAAAGGTGATAAAGGACACTGATGCAGAAGAGATTTAGATTCTTAAACATGAAAAGTTAATTTCAATGGCGGAAGCAAGCCATTAAACTATTAAGCAACCTACTTTCTGGGATTAAAGGAGTAATATAAAACCAATAAACACAGCCCTGGAAGTCACCAGTGCTGAAGCCCTCTACTGACCCTTGTGCCTGGTTGGATTTAGTGACTACTTAAGTCTGTTTAGTGCCCTGTGTGTGTCCTGCTTGTAGGACAGGTTCCAGTTGCTGCACTACACACAGTCCTTGTCACAGCGCTGGCTCTTGAAGCATACTTCAGGCCAGGAGAAGCCCCTTCAAAGTGAACACGTAACCCACGGGGGAAGGGGCGCATGTTATAGGCTGTTCTCATGAAATGATCCTCTAGCTCCCTGTAACCTTCTCCTTGGGAGATTCCTGCAAACTTGCTGTGTGAATAGTTGAAGGGAAACCAGGTTTCCTCTAGCTGTCTGCGGACAGCTGGAGACTCATGTCCCTGCAGGTGGCATGCTCAGAGGACCTGAAGCAAATCTTCCATTTCTCATAGTCATGAAGGAGAAGAAAATCCACTATTCAGCCATTCAGAAATAATCCTGTGCTACGCAGTCTTGATGTGCATGTAACAAACAGATCAAAAGCTTGAATGATGCCAGATATGCTTGCTAGGTTACAATAGCATCCTTAATCACTGTGTGTGCGTTTGCATGTCTGTTATCACTTTCAACAGTTCTTGCACAGCTTAGGTAGCAATAGAGAAGGCTTCTCATGCTGTGACCATTGGAACTCAGGCTAGCAGAGTTATATTCCAAAAGTTATGCAAAGACACACCAAAGGGCTGCGGTTCGAGTTGGGCAAACTCCTAGCCAAGTGAAACTGAAGTTGCCATTCTGTTGCTGGTGCAGTGCTCCAACTTCGGAGGAAACTATGGTTTGCCAGCTCTCTTGAGAATCGTTGCTTGACAAGCAGCAAAATGGAAAGGATAAAAATAGCGTTACGTGCACAAACACCTAACTTGAAATTCTGAGCTGCCTGACAGCAGGTTCACTGAAGGAATTATATTCACATGAATTAAGACTGGGTTAATCAAGCTATATGCTATTTAGAGTACAGTCATATGCTGTTTGCTATTTAAGTTATACACAGGACCTAGTCATACAGGGTGCTGAACGTCTCAAAGTGGAGCTCATACCGGGACAAGCTCAGTGTTGTGGAAGATAAGGCTGGCTTATTTTGGGAGAATTGTTGAGAGCGCTAGTTCTAGATGGCACATCCCTTTGTGTTACTGCGATGCTGAGGGGTTTCATAGATTGAGGCTCCCGTAGGCTGAATGGTAGCAAAGCATATGGCAGAACATGGCGCCAAAGAATTTACAGCCTGGGTGCGAGATAAGATGTAGGGCCTTCATTAAGAAGGAAGAACGAGGAAGCAGTGAGATGTTGATAAAAAAGCAAACATCTGTTTTTGCTGACATTGCCCAGTTATTCTAAAAATATCATCCATGTGATGAATTAATGAAGACTATGACCCACCCCCTAACAGACATGGTATCTAGTGCTGTAGTATGTAAACACCCCCCTTGAGCACAGTTGGAACATTTAGAGGCAGCTCCCAGATTAATTTATTTGCAGGTAGGGAGGAAGGAATAGCAATGAGAAGTTTTGTCAGTAATCTTTTTGTATCCTCTGTATGTCAAAGGTGTTATTTCCTATGCTCTTGCCTGTTGTTTGCAAATAGTAGGCATTTTATACCCATGTGCAGAAAACATGCAAGGAACTGTACATGTGTGAAGGAAAACTTGGCTCTAAAGCATCCTTGGCAAAATGAAGCAAGTAATCCAAGCTGTTTCCTGTGATCCCTTCATTATTCAGCCAGACAGCTGATCTATTTTTAACCAGTTATATTGAAGTCAAACTCCTGCTCTAGAGAGGCTAATAGTTGTTTCTTTGAATCTAACGTTAGTAGCTGTAGTTACCATGATTTAAGTGAGACTAAGACCAGATTTACACTCAGAGTGTAGAAGAATATAGTGGCCACAGTGGAATGGAAAGCAGACAGACACTTTGCATCACCAGGCAGGGAGACTGACCTACATGAACTGCTTCTGGTAGTAGTGACTTCCCCTGGGAAACGTGAGCCCTCCGACGGCACTAACCACAGGGCCCTTGCAGAGCTGAATAATATTCTAGCTGCTCTAATCTGAAGAAACACAAGCCTTTAGTAGGTAATGGTAAAATTGAGTGTCTGCGGAAATAGGTTCAAAATCATCTCTGGTCTTCATTGACCTAGTCAGTGATTCCTTGATTGTTTTTCTGAAATCACAGGCCTGAATCCTGAGCAATGTATGCATTTTGTTTGGATGGCAGGGGGTTGCAAGTATATGGAGGCATAGTTTTAGCATGAGGGCTGAAGGATGCTAGCAAGGTCGGGTGGAGCAATTTGCACGTTCTTGTGCCTTTTTTCTTGTTGCCTGAAGGAACGTAATTAACTCCTAAGTCTGCTGTAGGCATGCAAATGCAATGAGCTAAGTTAATATGTGAAATCCTTGCCCATCAAGACCCAGGTACATGTTTTTTAGCCAGTGGTGAATCTAAGGTTAACTATTCCTTGGTGAAAGGGACGGGTGGGAGCTACCTTACAGCCAGGAATAAGTGTGTGCCCACAGCATTCTGCGCTTTATCTACTGCTTGATGTAAATTCAGTCTATGGTTACTTGTTTATTAGTTGTTTTTTTACATATCCCTGGCCAATCGGGAAGAGAAGAATGTTCTTGGACTGTCACTGGGCTTAGAGGCTTATCCTGCTCTGAACTGGACCTCTATAGACCCTGTAACCTCAAATATTTGACAGCATCTCTGGTGAGCTGTCTGGTGTGAAGTGTGGCACAAGATCGTATTGTTTCCTCAAAGAATTGCATCACCACTCTAACATCTTTGCATTATGTAGTGTTTTCAAAATTGGTCCGGAAGTATTTGGAAAGACAAAGGATGCTTTTTGACTAGTTTGTGTTATTTTTAAAGAGCTCAGTAAAAAGATGCAGCAAAACTTCTGGGGTTAATGCCACCTCTGACAGCTATGAGACTTCTTGAAGTTAGTCCAAAGCTGTGGAAGTTTAAGGAGAATTTGGATCAGCATCAGCCTCTGAATCAAGTGTCTTTATGTACTTCTGTCAGCTGCAGTGCACGTAACTGGTGTGAAGCCTTTGTATACGTTTGTGGGCTTGATTCTCTTTTCTTCTAGTTTGTGAATTAAATAAAACCATGGGTATTCTGAGAAGGTATAATGACAGAAATGGAAATAAGGAGTCTAAAAAGCGCAAGAAAGACAAACTATGAGAAGGTTTGAGTTGCTGCAGCTTTAGGTTGCGGTGCATCGTGTCACGGTGAGTAGGAGAAAAGCAATTGCTGGAGGACAAGGTTTAGCCAGAGTCTGGCTCTCCGTGTCTGGAACCACAGAGCCATGTGGAGTGTCTCTCTTGCCCTTGCATTTAGTTTAGATGTACAAAATGCCAGCACAGCTGACCACAGAACGTGTTCTCTTGTTAAAGGCATAATGGTTTACTTAGTCTTAATTTCTGTTTATTGGGCTTTTCTCCAGCAAGAGAATTTGTCATTCTAATGATAAGTCTTTTCTTAAATAGCAAGTTTATAGCATCAACCATTCTGCTGCAAAGTGTTGGCTCGCTGATCATCTTGTTTCTCTTTGGGAATATGAAGAGATAACGATTTTAAATTTAGCTTTTATTGTCTTACGATTAGGCTTTAGAAATACTTGTCCTACTCGGAGCTCTTGGCCTGGCTTATGAGAGGCTTTACAAGTGACAAGTGTCTCTTAGTGTGGGGCTTCTGAACAACAGCTGAAAGCTGTGGAGGTGAACACTGTAAGATATTGCTGGTTTTGTAAACTTTCTGTTGACTGCAAAAAGGTTAGTTTTATTGGGTTTGTCCATTTTATGCCAAATGAAGACTAAGAAGTCTGAAGTGTGTTTCAGAAGATGTATTTTATGTATTAGAGCAGTACTTTTTTCTAAATGCAGACCTGGGCATTTATAGCCACTGACACCTGGGTTTGACTAGGCAAAGAAATTAACTGCAAGTAGACTGCAAGCTGTCTAGCTACGGATGGAAAATTTGCTGTGCTAGAAGGAACAGTGTATGGTCAGCAAAAGTGTGAGCCTTCATTTCGGGACCCCTTCATAGCTTGCTCTGCTAGAGGTGAAGAATAAATGGATTGTAGACATTCCAATAGCCCCACTTCAGTGCCTTTGGAACTGAAAGCAGAAACGGTCCTCCTTTTGTGGGAGAGAGGGGGTTTGTTTTTATGATTGTAGCAATGGCAGGAAGTTTCCTTAAAATAGGTGTTTAACATTCTGCTGCTCTTGAACTTCAGGTTGTTCCTTTTGTGTGTTAATAGATGTGTAGGAATGTTTAATGGAAAAAGAACTGTAACTTCAGATGCTTGGAGTTTTGTTCCAGAGAGCATAGAGATGGGACTGTTGGTGGGAGAACAGAGTGAGGATGACTAAGGGGAGGAGGGACAACACAAGTTGGAGCCATACTTGTGTGAAGAATTCAAAAGCACTGCTTACCTGAAAAAACTGCCCAAACAATTTAAGACCAGCAGAACAACAGTTGCAAAGGCAAACTTTTAAACAGGATGTGCTATTGACTTACTGACTGGCACATTATTGAACTGAGCTGTTGATTTTTAAGCTTTACTCTGGCAAATGCTGTTTTCAAAAAATGCACGAATTCTCAGAGCCATGGAAAATGACAGGAGTTTTATATGACGACCTACATACCTTATGTGCTCTGTGGCTGGATCCCATTCCCGGCTGCCTTGCTGCAATTGTAATTTTAAATGATGATCAAATTTCGTTCAGAGAGGAAGAAATAACCATACTTTTAAAGGCTAACGTAGCTTCTAGGGCAGTGTCCTGTTACAAGTGGGGGCTAGCTAGATCTTCTGCATTGGCAGAGGCTGAGCGCTAAGTTTGCCCTTAACATGAGGTCTAGTATGGTTGTCTTAGCTGGTGGCTAGGAGCGGGTTGGTTAGGGTACACTTGTGAAAGGGTCTTAGCTTCACATGTCTGCTACCAGAGGTTCAGAAGACATGTGAAACTTCGATGAGGTGTACTTCTTTTGAGAGGTGGGTATATGGTCTAAAGCAATGTACATTTCACTGAAGAAAGTAGTAATTGTTTTACAGTTAAAGCCTTGGCTTCATGTGTCTTCTGGAGACTGATGTAACCGTTGCAGTAAAGTTAAGTGTTTCTTTTGTTCCTCACCATATAAAAACAGTAAATATTTATTTTCCAGACCAATTCTCGGAAATTATTTGGGCTATTTGGCATTGATGGGACTGGAATGCCTGTCATATTCAAGGCCTCAGAGTTATTCCATCCATCTGAGAGGAATTTGCATCAGGGGTTGATCTTGGTGTGTCTCTGTGCTACTGGTTTGCAGTTTGGATGCAGCAGGAACTAAGTTTCTTGTTTGTGAGCAAGTCCTGATGTACCTAATCTAGATGATGTACCTTCATCTAAGGCATCAACTTTCCCACTGTCTGTGTGGTTTAATTAGTTCATCAAGACCCTTGCTATTGGTGTTTCTTTGGTCCTCTCTGATACGCATTTCCATGGAGAACGAGTAATGATTTCAAGTCCTGGTCTGATGAGAGGAAAGAGAGCCAAGAAGTAATCTAACACATTCAGCATCCTCTTATGACCCAGTCTCCTCTGCAATTTGTCCCTTACAATCCCAACCAAAAGAGAGGTGACTGTAAGGTTGTCTTTGAAGAAGTCTGTTTGGTAACACGTCCTTTGTGCAACAAGAGCTGGAGAGTTCACTCTTTTTCCAGAAGGACCACATGTTTTTGTACCTGTGCAAGGGTCCTCGCTGCATGTCATCCAAGGTTGTCTTTGGGCATATTGGGGTCATATAGAGAAAGAACGGCTTAAGGTATCACGGAGCAAGTGAGTAAGGCCAAGGTTTTTACTGAATGGCTGTAAATGAAAACCAGGTGTGGGGAGAATAGGGAAGGAAACTTATATGACCTGCACCATGCATTTTGCATGCTTGCTGTGCTTCTAGGAAGTGAAGTAATGCTCTTTGCAGCCAGGCTGGGGGTGGCTGTACCAGGTGTGCAGTACTTGGGTGAATCTATTCATGGCTATTCATTGGCATTCTCAGATCTAAGGTAGAACAGTCAGGCTGGATGCCTTTTCTTTCTGTGAAGTGAAAAAACATCTTCTCAAATGTTCACCTTTTCTTCCTCAGGCTGCAGATCAATGAAGTTTCTTTTAAAGCTGAAACGGTTATTTCCCCTATAAATATTTTTAATTATAGTCAATGAATTAAGTAAGTGATGACACATTTATTTTCTGACTCTAGGAAGGAATTTTTTCCAATATTAATCCAGTGTTCATAGAATTGTTTATGCCAGAAGGGGCATTTAGTGCTGAAAGAATCTGATTAACCTAATTTTTTCCTGGTTCTTACAACATAAAGAAGAATAATCCAATGCCATTATAGTCCATAGCTTATTTTCCTGAGGAGCAAAATTACTTTGTTTTGCCTTTAACTGAGGTATGAAAGAATTAGCCAGGACAGTCGAGATGTGGACCTAAGGTCCATTACTTTTCATAGTCTCTAGCACAGTGGGGACACTAGAGAAGTTTAGTAATCTGTTCCTCCAACTGCATTTTATTGTCAAAATACACTTGAGCTAAAAGTCTGCATAATGGTATGGCAAGTAATTTGGTGGAATTAATCTAAAATACTGTGCAGAGACAGGTCTTCACTCACACAAGGTTTATTTGTTTAAGGCTGCACTAAAGGTCTAGCATAACTGCTGTATGTTATTGCCAAGTGTAGCCTCAAACACTTGCATGGAGTGTAAATTATTCTTGCTTTTCAAAGTGAAGTAGGAAATCGGCATTTATGGTTTAATATCTCTTTAAAGGAAGAATATGGACAGTGAGAGTTAAACAAAATAGAAAGAAGTGATGAACTGAACAATCTGTAACAAAACATTAGACTGGGAAAACTACAGTAGCAGCAATGAAACTAATATCTCCTGTGATAATTGTTTCCTTAGATCAGGAAGTGTCCTGCACCATTGGAATGAAATATATCATTTTGTGGAACACTTGGCCCGCAAGTTCATAAGGTAAGGAATGCTGCTTTGCAGATAACTGAGTGAGAAGGGGTATGTGTGCCAGCGGCTAGGAGACATGCTCTCAGTCAAGTAGCACATGCTGCTTCCCACCAGGGAAACTGATGGAAAGAAATTCCATAGTGCTTTTCTGGGATCATCTCATTGACTGCTTTTCCCCAAATTTCTGTTGTGCAGGAAATAGGAGTAGATAAGCTAATTGTTCCCTTTTTTCCTGCCTGACTTCCATGGATCAAATCATGGTTTTCTGAGGAAAGAATCCTCTTGTTTCTGATACGGCTGGCTACTGCCTGAGGTACAGAATTTTGGGTCTGCAGTGAAAGGCCTGAGGCTGTAGCTTTCAGGCACTGAATGACTTGAGGCTGGATGAAAAAAAAACCCAGGCCAGTGGGTGGAATATGTTATTATAAATATAATTAGCCTTCCTTTGTCTCCGTACTGATACCAGGATGAAGTTAAGCATTTCTTGCTTTAGCAATCCTAAGGTCATGATGCAAGTGCTATTTACATCTTTTTAGAAGGTTTCCTCATGGTTTGCCTTGACTAGGAAGGCAAACACCTTTGGCTGCTTAGTCCTGTTTTTTGTCCTCTTGAGTTATAATCTAGATAGTAATCAGAGCATCCTGTGTGTTTGGTGTTCCACATACAGTAAGCTCTGGTCTAGACCACCAAAATAATTTACTTTTTTTCTTCTCCTTTTCCAGCCCCCAGCTGAGGATGTCCTTCATTGTTTTTTCAACCAGGGGGACAATTCTAATGAGGTTAACAGAAGACAGGTAAGAAGATGTTTAAAGATGCCCAGTAGCTTTTGTGTCCTTGTTGTAGCTTCCTTCACCTCCTTCGCTCAATGATTTCCAGACCACTGTGAGCAGTGTTGTGACACCTTTGTGCTTCTCAATTTGTTTGAATTGCGTGCCCATTTTCATATATCACACTCATTCTGCTAGAATGCATTAAGGCATCTTAAGGCAGAGGTTGCCTTCTTAATTTTGACTGCCAAATGTCTTTCTGTCAGCAATTAGGTTTTTAACTCAAACTGCGTTCCTTGAGGGAGTCTGCATTCCACAGATTTTCAGGATTTTGTCAGAGAACAAGAACCTTATTGCCTTTGAAACATCCTTAAGGAGTTTCTTCTGCAAACAAATAGGTGAAACTCCCTTCCCGTAAAAACAAACCTGAAAGCCATAGTTGACACCCATACTCTTGAGTTAGAGGTGAACATGGTTTCTTTGGAGGTCTGAAGGTATGTTATAGACAAACAGTGTTCAGGTTGGATTGCAAGGGTGTATATTTTTTGGCGATGACAGTTTGATTGCCATGTTTCTGAAGCATGTTCCTGTCATCCCCTTGTAGATCCCCAAGTTAATCCCAATAAAATCTATGGAATGGATTTCTTTTTTCACTCTGACTTCAAGGAGAGCTGGATAATGTCCTTTAATCGCTCTTGCTTCCTCTGTTAACTTCATTGCCACGTGGAGCAAAAATATATGTAACACATGTGAAGACTGTATAAGTCTGCATGTGTTTTACATATTGGATGTCTATGAAATTGCATACCAAAGCAGCTACTATAGAGGAGTGAAGAGGAAACTGGCCGCTTTCCTAAAGAGCAGTCCACATACATACCGACCTTGAAAAAGTCATTAAACCCAGCCAGCCTAAGCATTTCTTGCCACTTAGTGCAACAATAAGTATAAAGAGAATGAACCATATCAGACTTGGTGCCAGAGGCAAACCTGTTCCCTGCCTCTTTCTGTCTCCCAGGCTGTGAGCACACCCCATTGCAAAGATCTCTAGTCTGTTAAGGCTCTAAGCTATGAGACTTAAGTGTTTCCCATGTGGAAATGTATTTCAGAATTATCCAGCTGTCCTAGAAATGTTGACTGGGAACAGGATATTGATATGATATTAGTCCGAAAACCAACTGACTGGAGAAGTGACAAACAAGATGTGGGCCTCATGCTGGTCCTTTAGTTAACACTGGCCTTTCTTAATCAGGAAGCTGGAGCAGTGGCAAAACAGTGGCAAAACCTCTTCTACCTTGCCCGTGGCTCCATGTGGTTGGTATATCAGCATCTCAACATGAAGATTGAGGGTGCTTAGCATCCCTTTTGGAAAAACTCCGTGCATCTAATGGGACTGGATTGACATATTTTAAAGACCTTTGCTGTCTATTTTAAAATTTCAGTGTTCACATTTGAAAAACAGTTCTGATCACAAGAAACGCTCTTGATTTTATATTCAGCTTTGGCTTGGCATGTGCATGGGTAGCTGAATGGAGGAATTATCTGCTCCTAGCCCACCTACAACAGACAGTTCAGTGTCTAACTAGTTTGGGATATTGCAGGTACAGAATGAGTTCATGAAAGTTTGATAATTCAACCTATTGCAAAAGCAGATATTCTTTTCTCCCTGTGGGAATTAGTGCTCTGTAGACTGGCTAATGTTAATACACTGCTGCAATAGCAGCAAAACAAATGTGAGACAGAGTATGTGATCACACAAACTGGATTTTCTGAAGTAGTTAAATTCAGGGACAGAACTGACTTCTGGTGTTCAGTCCTGCAATGTCAGTGTGGTCCTGCATGCAGTGACTTTATACAGTCTTCATGGGAAACAGATTGTTCGTTCAGAGATACGCCCCACACATTGCACGGTTTTATCTTGGTATTGAAGACTTCTGGCCTGCACTTGGCTTTCAGAGTTTGCTGTCTGCAACTCAGTGAAACAATAAATGGATGCCCACCTCATTTAGCCTGCACTTGATCTGTCACTGTGCCTGGGATTTCTAAAAAAATTAAAACAGATATCCTGAGTCCTAATAAACTATTGGGAAAGTCTTTAATCTTCAAGTCAGTTTGAACAGGAACTGAAGGCGTAATGTCCAGAGAAACTGGAGCTGCTGGGATGGTTTGAGAGATTGTGTCATTTCTTTGTGGCTGTTTGATTACATTTGTACAGTCAAGTCAGCAAGCCTAAGTGAGCAAAGTGAGCCAGGTGCAAATCGGCTGCTCTGCTGCTGCATCAGAGGTTTGACCAGGGTTACACAGGGAATATTTATTTAGAAAGAAATGTATGGATATTGACCTAGGAGATGCTGCTGTTGTGATGCTTTCTGCAGGTGGTGGGAACACTGGGAGCACAACTGCTCTGTTTTTCACACCCTTAGAAAGGTACATACGCAGACACTACCTAAGCCTATAACATTCTTAGCCTATATAAACATTGGGTTAACACTCTCCCCCCCCTCCTGTATCTGGTTCTGCCATGCATGTCTTCACCTGAATATCAGCTCCTGATAAATTTCGTCTTGGATCTAACAATGCATCTATAATTATTTCAGGGAACAGATACGCCAGGGTCTGGAAGAGCTGCAGAAGGTCCTTCCGGGAGGTGACACATACATGCATGAAGGATTTGAAAGGGTAACTAGATGCATGCTATAGTACCTCTAAACTGTGTCTGGGTGCTCCTCAGGAACTGTTAAACAAGGGAATCTGGTTAATAATTCTCTGGTAGGTAAATGCGGCTATGTCCCTCTTATGCAATAGATATGCTGAAGTGTAAGCATCCAGCATTTGAACTGGTGCAAGGGAGCTGCAAACCCTACTATGTGTCTTTGGTTTTGCCTTCAGCTTTTATGGGGAGAGCTGCCTTTTCAGCTTAGGACAGGGTAGAAGGCTTTGGCATTGCAATCCCACGTGGAACCATGTTCATGAAGGGTGGAAAGCTGTCTAGAGTCCTGCATGGGTGCTGTAGTAGGCTTGTTAGAGTTGGGCAGGGGCTGAGGCTGTGGCTTTAACCTGTTCTCACTAGTGGACAAATGCTGCTGCATAGTAGTTATTCTCCTGTATATTTTACAAGCTCAAGAGTTTCTCTAAACCTGAACTCCTAAACCTCCTCCCACTTCTGTACTACACATGCATTTGGGAGGATTGTGGAGCTGTTTGCCTATTGAAAATGCATGTGAACACACAGCAAAAATTCAGGTGACCTGACAGAGATCCTGGTTCTTAACCAGGAGTCCAAAACCCAGAGTTTGGTGAATTCAGAAGCTTTGCAGGAGGAGTCCAAAAACCCAAATTTAAATTCAGAACAGAAATGAAATTCATAAGCCATATATGTTCAGAGTGGCTTACTTTTAAATTTTGAATCAACACACACTGAAGTGTTTGCTCTTCTACCTCTCAGAATATGCTTGTGCGTAGATCAAGTGGGAGACAGAAGCATATCTCTCTGCCGTTGCTTTATTTGCAATTAGAGTAGTTGATCTAGAGGTGCTGGGGAATATTTATCAATGGACCTAGGATGTTTCTCAAGGAGGAAGGTGAATCTGATTCTTAGATAGCAGAATAGTGGGAGGTTACATTTTTGTTGGCCAATGGCCTTAGGGTTGGTGTGACTGAGTTATGCTTTAGATAAGACCTTGAAGTAGTGCAATCAAAGCCTTAGGTAAGAAACTTCTTCTATGAAGCAGGTATCTCTGAAAGCAGAGGTTATGTGCAGACTACAAACATGACATCCTCACTGCCGTCTTTCTCTTTCTGGTGCATGTGTAGATGCCCACAAAGTTTTATTATGCATTTATTGCTAATAATCTTCTGATTTAATTTCAGGCAAGTGAACAGATTTACTATGAAAATGTTCACGGTGAGAGACTTTCTTGATCCATTGAATATTCTTTTTTTCTCTTTCTTTTTGGCTGATAAGTTTAATAGATTTGAAATGCAGCTTCACTGTGGGAAAGGTGGGGGGTGGCTCCTAATCTTACAGGAATGCAATGATCTTCAGGGTAGTTTTTCCTGAAAAGGAAAAAGAACAGGTGGAGCTATAAGGATTCAGAGCTGGAATGAATGTGTTTCAGGCTAAAAGTGAGAAGCCAGGCTGACCGAAGGTGCCTACTCTTACTAAAACTGTCCGGTACCTTATTTTGTTCTTTTTGCTTGAGGACTCGGGTAACCATTTCTTCTTCCTTCTGAAACACGAGTATGTGGAGATGCTGTTAGGTAAAAGTTTTTGTTTTAATAAGCAACTATTAAATCCAGTAGTAAGTGCAGACAATTGTGAAAATGTTTGTCATTTGGAAAATGCAGTAGATGGCTGAAGAAATTTAGAAGTTGATAATTTACATGCCTTGACATATTTAGCCTTTATCTTTCCATAACAGTGTTTGTGCAAGATGTACCTACAGAGCTCTGTTAGATGTGTAGCAAGGCTATTGTCAGAAATATGAGTTAATTCTATTTGGCCACTCCTGAAAACTAACACAAACTTGTAAAACCCAAGCTATGACCAATACAAGGGGAAGACTGTAAGTTTAACTATGTTGCTGAAATCTGTTACCTAGGAATGCTGAAGATTTTAGGCTATTTTCCTACCATATCTGTTTAAATCCCAATTGAGCTTTTTATCACAGGCTGAAAAAAAAGTCTCTGGATTTCTTGAATTGACAGCATTAACAAAATCAGGAAATAACTAGGAACAATTTGTGTTGGTTTTTTGATAGCTGCAGTCTAATCTACTGGTTGGAAATACTGAAATAGTTATGAGGGGCTGTCAATTAAAAATCATTGGCACATCAAAGGAGTGTGGTATAAAACTGGTATTGAGGGCAAATGCCTGAGTGGAAAAAGCATGCAGAAATCCATGTTTTCTGAAAACTAATTGGCTGTAGGGAGGTAAGGACATGGGCTTGATGTCCACTGTTTCTAGTCCTTTAATTGTGATAACAGGTCGCTAGCAGGATGTTTTCTAGGCTAGTTTAACAAATACAACTCAAAACCAAGAGACTAAAGAAGTTTATGTATCTAGGTTACAGAACTGCAAGTGTCATCATTGCATTGACAGATGGAGAACTCCATGAAGACTTATTTTTCTACTCTGAGAGGGAGGTAAGTGTCTTGCACGTTTTTAGCTAGACATTCACATTAGTGAAATGTCTGCGCTTGCTGCTTTGAAGGCAAAAGATAGGGAAAACCTTTTTCTCTAGTGGTAAAACTTTGCTTTGGTGCTCTTTAGATGTGAATCTTAAGGACAAACATTAACAGGAGCAATGCTTCTGACTCATCAACACTGAGACTCTTCATGGGAAAGGAGAGGGATTTAAACTTCTGTTTAAAAAAAAAAAACCTGGAGGAAGGAATAGTTCACAGCTGAGAAATTTCAGTATTTACTGTGTTTTTCTGGGAAACACCTGAGTTTTCTCTTTGACTTTTCTTCTTTCACAAAAAGTAAAGACCACAGAAAGAGAATGACTGTTGTTCCTATAATCTTCTGTCACATCAGAAAGCCTTTCAGATGATCAAATCCAAAATTTCCACAAACATTTCAAGATTCAAGTGTGTATTCTCAACACCCTCATTAAATTAGTGTATTATGCAAAATGTTAGATAAACAGTATGTTGAGTGCTATATAGCTTTGCTATATAATGTTCCTACTGATGTCCTTTTGATAGTCATCTCTGAAGAGATGAACCAATTTCCACTTGTCAATCAGACAAATTAAGATGACCTAAACCTGGAAGATGGTATTGTTACATGAATTTGCTATGGGCAGAGTTTTTACTCTCTATCCAAAGTGCAGCTTTAAATCCAATAACAACAAAAAGAATGGTTTTCTAGAATAAAACCAATATTGCTACAGCACAAACAAATGTCATGAATCTATAGAGTTCCCCTCCTTACTGTTCATCTCCTTTTCTTCCCTTCTGAAACAAAAAATCCATGAGAAAAGCAAGTTTGGCTTTTTTGAGGTGAATGAACACCTTGAGAAGTCAGAAGTGTCATATTTGTTTTGGTTTGGGGAGGAACAGTTAGTGAGCTAGTAGAATGATGATCTTGAACTCGGCTCTTGCACTGTGAGTTGCTTCAGTTGTTTGGGTTTGTTTCTCAGTATAAAACTGGAATGATGCTTTTCTTATAAAGTGCTTTGCTATCGAACAATTTGAACTACAGCTTTCTGATATGATCTGACTTGTGACTTGCCACCATCTTTTCGGGGAATGGGTTTTTGGTCAGGTGTTCCTGTTCTAATGAACAATGATTAAATAACTGAATTCATACCTATGCAGGCAAGAGCATTTAGAACAGTTGCTTTTCAAATAGTAAATTCAACTTCATCTGCATGTTGATGAAATAGCCTGGAAAAATCAAACCTATGTTTTTTCTCCCTTTATTAGTTTGAGATGCTGTGTAAACAGTGGGAGTGATACAGTTTTGTAGCAGATGGAACGAAATATCTCTTCACCTATGGATATCATGAGTCCAGACACACATGTCTGAAATAGAAAATACCAAAACATTTTAGGTTACTATTATATTGGAATTAGTCCTAAATGATGAAAAGAAAATGGATTTAGTCTGTCTTACATCTGTTGGACAGACAAATGTTAGGAAGTTGGAGTAGCTTGGAAGCTGAGATAATTAGGTTTAAAAAAAACCCCACTGAATGACTTGTGATTTGCTTTACTAGAAAAATGGCTACTCTGGTAGCAGAGAAAACCTGTTTTTGCAGAATCACAGAGAAGAGCTTTTAAAGCTGTCTTTTAACAAGCCCCCCCATTGCTCATTTTACAGAGAAAGACTGAATTTATGATTGACCTTTCAGAAACCTGCATCCCATCACATTTGCATCCATGTCATCCTACTTTTCCTTGTTCCAGGCTAATCGATCGCGTGACCTGGGAGCAACAGTATATTGTGTTGGTGTGAAAGACTTCAATGAGACCCAGGTAAGTGAGGCACTCGTGTTTACTGAGGTACTTGGCAAAGGTGCATGTTGAACACAGGCACTAGCTCCTGATTCACTTTCTTAAGCTTTCTCAAGTGGTCTTCCTCTCCTTCTGTTGACTGACTGACAGTCTAAAGCAAATGACTGAAGTGTCTTGGTTCTGGGTCTTGGGTTTAAGCCCCTTTCTGGCTAAATCTCCATATGTGGAGAAGTGTCCCTCTGTCTGCATGCCACAATGACTCTTGATAATGGTGGAGAAAAGCAAAGGAAAAAACACATAAAAAATAGCAAATTGTTAAACCATAAAGTTTACGCTGTAGGTTTAAGCTGTAGGCAGGAGGAGGTTGTGGGAAATTTTTTTCCTGATAAAACTGAGGTATTGCCATATAACACTTTAGTTTCAGTCCAGCTTTTCTTTCACAGGAAAACTACACTGTAAAAAGCAAACTGCTTCATTAGTGACACTAATATTTTACAGTGTTTTCCCATTTGATAGTCTGGCTTCTAAATTTATCATATGAATATTAGGATGATCATGAATTACATTTCATATGAAGTGTAACAGTTGTCATGTTTTTCTAACATGAGTGAAACACTTGTACAGCCCCTAAGTGGAGTGCTGAAATAGTTATTGAATAGAGCTTTTCCAGGCTTTCAGCTTTTGTTAGAAAGATTCAAACACTGATTCAAAAAAGAATCAAAACAAACTTGGTTTAGAACAATCTCCTTTGAATCAAAACCAGAGACTAGTATAACCCAGAGTTAGTCACAGAAAAAGCAGAGGGAATCAAAATGGCTAAAAGACTAGATTTAAAGCAGCAGACCTCAAAGACAACTGCTACTTGAAGTCACTTACATGCTGAAGAAATTAACTGGAATTAGATGACTGTTTGAAGTCCCAGAATGCACTAGGAGGAGGACTATGGGGAATGAGTTGAGGAAACTGTAAACATCCTGGTTTACAAAAGCTTCTGTATCTTGGCCAACAAGCAGTAAGCCACTTTGCTACCCTTCTCTGAGCAGGCAGTGGGAAGTTGCCTGGAGTATTTCTCTGGATGCAAACCAGGAGGTTGGCAGTTTGGTGTTTTTCTTGAGAAGTGGGAGTTTGGAGTGACGTGGGCTGGAAGGGTGGAGCCAGTGGGGTTTAGGGAGGAAAGCATGGCTAGTCTGCTGCTTCCAATTTGCAATGCTACAGGAAAAAACAGAGGCCTGCTAGGTTGATGTTACCTCTGCCATGGGAGGGAATTACTATAACAAACATTGGCCTTGCAGCAGTAGAACTTGATTCTGATCCAGCAGATGCATGGAGACCTCATTACTTCTGAACTGGGCTTATATTTTTGCCTTAACCCTTAGCATGCTATTGACAAGTGAGCCTCCATGTAGCTCTTTACAGGTGATATCCTGGTTCCCCTTATCTTACCACCACCCTATGAAGGGCCCTCTTCCTTGTCATGTAGGCTTCCAAATGCTCTTCTGCTACCTTTTTTCCTTCACTTGGAAAATATCTCCTGTTAGCTCCCTGCTTTCTTCTTCTCCTAGGCTCTCTAACGGTTGAGCCTAGGACAAATAGTCAAATCTCTGTCCTGACAGGAAAGGTGAATCAGGCCTATATCTCCAGATGCGGTATGATTTGCATTATTCTTCTGTATATGTGAAAATACTCAATCATTTTTATTAGTTCCCTAGTTTAGATGATGTATACGCTGAAGTGTTTTGCGGCATTAGTGGCCTGTCATGTTGATGCTGTGGCCTACTTTGGTTGGGGAGTTACTATGCTGGGTGATTTACAGTCATGTGGGAGAGAGATTTTTGCAATAAAGACCATTAGACTATGAGCATCAGTGAAAGCCACAGTGTGTCTTGTCTTCAAAGTTAAGAGAAGCCTTTTCTGATTGCTGATATAGAGCTTTCTAAAATCAGTCAGGCTAAAGAGATAAACTTTTCAATACTTGACAAACTATAATGCACTAGCAATCCATACAGAGTACTTGGAGTGTTTGGTTGGTGTTTTTTTTTCTTTTTACTTGGAAGTGGATGAGTCTGGAGAAGTCTTAATTTGATGCCTGCTGGCTAATTTATCTATTTCTTTACATTTCTGTTTTATTTACTTTCACTGCTCTGTCAGCTGGCTAGAATTGCCGACAGCAAAGACCATGTCTTTCCAGTGAATGATGGTTTTGAAGCCCTTCAGGGGATCATAGACTCTGTAAGTATGTTTAATCATGTATTTGCATGTGTGCATGTTAGTTTGTGTTAGCTTGCACGGCTGAAGGTTTCGTTTTCCTGTGTTCACAAAGACCTGCTGACTGCTAATAAATCACTTAAACATTTGGTCCAAAGAAACTGACCTTTTTTTGTACTAATATTGCTACTTCAAGGCAGAGTTTATCAATAACTCACAATACCGGAAGCTCTGAGCCCAAATATTGTCTTTCTATGTCTCCCTCCTTGATGGGAAGTAACTGACTGAATGGACTAGGCACATAGTAACAGTTTATAAAATGGCTGCCACAGTCTGGGACAGCAGAGATGTGTTGAAGCGTGTTCTGTATGAAGGATTAGGGCACTCTTTGATCTCCATCTTTCAGCTTGATTAGTATCCTTTCTGTCCTGATGGACGTGCTGCACGACTCACCTGTTTAGAATGGAGGAAGGGATCCTGCTATGTATGCCAGAATCCCCCAAACTCTGCTTTCTACATTTGGCCTCCTGACACATGGGCTATTTTTTCCCCTCCCCAGACTTAGGTTTCCCTATTCAGACTGATCGATTCCTGGCATTTTCTCTAGGGGCTGGGTGCAGCATATAAGAGCTGGCCTGTTCCTGGGTGGCTGGGGTAAGAGCTAGCAGTTCAGCTGACAGAGGGAGGGGCATAGATTCATTCCTTTCCCATGACTTGTATGCAAGTCATGCAAATGGCTCCATGGTCTTTACTGGCAAATAAGAATGCCTCATGAGGCATCCTTACTTCTATCTCTAAAACTTTGAGCGACCTAATACTGTCCCACCTAGGACCAACGCTTCCCTTGACCGAGCAGGAAAGGCAATATACGAGAGGACGTGTGTGGCATTTTCATTGTAAGTGTAAAATGTGGCAAGCATTCAATGGGAAACTGTATGTGTTCAGATAGCTTTCAGTATTATTCTATTCCTTTTGCTTAGTTGTATCCCATGGCTGTTGTAATTAGATTGCTTCTCATGGCTACAAAGAAGGATGGGAAATCCTTTTAAGGACATGTAATTTGTTCATTTTGGTATAGGCTTTATAGTTGATAAAACACAGATGAAATATACAACTTGAAGCTAGGGAGGGTAGGTTCGCCCGAGGGGTCTCAGATTTCTGTGTTTGCAGTGGTTACACGCTATTCTGACTAACACTGTTCCCTCAGCATAGGCTCAATTTTTGCTAGTGCTCTTGCATGTAGGTGGAATACAATCCCTTGCTTATTAGTTTTCCTCGCACTGTCCAAGTGTGGGGCAACTGCCTCCATTCTCTTGGCCAGTCAGGTGTTGCATCTCATTTAAGAGAGCAACAAACCAACAAAACCCCCTAGTTTGCTTCCCAGCCCTGCATTCCCTTTGCAGCTGTTCTTAATGAATTTCGGTGGCAGTTCTGACTCCCTTTCCAGTTATACTGAACAGAATGGGAAGACTTCAACCTCCAGGAGCCTGGTCAAGAACTGCTTCAGCTGACTGATGGAAGATTTACCAGCCCTGGGAAGGAGGGTCACAAGGAAGTGTAATTGTACAGTAATGAATCTGTGACCTGATCACTTGCATTTGAGGGAGTGATTGCGATAGGTCAGGTAGAAAGGAAGTGTGTAAAAGGAATGGCAAGAAGGACATTAATCACTCTGCAGAATAACAAAGATTCTGTACATTCCTGTTCTAGCTGGAAAATAAGCTCCCTTGTTCCTTCTTTTCTTGTCCTTGAAAAGCACCTCTGTCTTTGAGCAAACAAACAAAGCATTTGTGTTCACAGGAAAGCATTCATTTTAATGTTGAAAAGGATGTGAGATTTGGAAGCTTCTTTCAATTTCTGTGTAAGAGTTGGTATAGCAAGGATGCTCAGCCATGTATGGAGGGGATTGGTTAGGCTACTAGCTGCTGGTTGATGTAACAGGGGAAGGAAAGATAACATGATGAGCCTGGGGGAGATTAGTGCTTGAGATCCCTCTAGAGGTGTGAAGACTTGGGTTTGTTCTGGTCTGCAGTGATTTGGTGTGAACTACTCTGTATTCCTGAAGCCTAACTCTTCCCTCCTCCCCCTGTCCTGAGGGGTAGGTGTTTTTTGACCATCTGTGAGTGCAGAGGTGGTGGACTTAGAAGTCTCTCTGGAATAAGGAAGAGGGTGGGGAGCTGGGAGTGGTGGGACTTGAGGCTGGCCTCTGCTGAGCCTCTAGATCTGCTGAGCAAAGAAGTTCAGGGTGGTGGGTCTGCCAATGTTTCAGTATATCTGCCCGCCCTTTTCTGCTGGAGCCAGCCAGTTTTGAGGTAGCAGCTGCAGGGAGATCTGCTCGGTGCTGCTCGAGGAGGACTGTCTTCCACTGAGTGCCGCCAAGCTATTCAGGCTGTGCCCTGGAGGCTGTGCTTAAATGAGCTGAAAATATAGTCCCATGCTGTAGTCATGCTGAAAAACATGTTTCTTAGTGTGGGAGCTGAAGGTATTCAGTGCCCTGTAGGTTTTGGTCCTTTCTCTCCTGTGAGTTCCAATGTGACTTTTTTATTAAGCAAACCAATTGCTTTGTCTCCCTCATAGTGAAAAAGCCGCTGCTAAAACTTCAGCTTCCCCCATGTTTAATGGGGATTTTGAGTTTGTTAGGAGGGAGGAATCTGGTAGAGAAATAAAGATCTGATTGCTTGTAAGTCGGGAAACAAATGGAAGGAACTGAAGTAATTTAATAAATTTTTCTCTGCTGTGGAAAACTTCTGCAGATCATAATCTGACAATTTAAAGCAAATGGAGCAAGTCTTAGAAGGAAAACCTGAAACTCAACTTCATCTACTGCTCAGTGTGTCTTTTGTAGGAGTGCTGGAGGCGATGGAACACGAAGCAACATGAAAGTCGGGATGGGATCCTGTCGTTGCTTTGCTTTGAGCCTTTAACGGGAACTGACTGAAAGAGCAGTTGCTTGGAACAAGAATACTCCCTGATCCTTGCCATGTGTTAAACAGTGGCACTGGCTCGGAGCTTATCTCAAGTGGAGATGAAGTCATGGGCCCCTTAGAAAGGATTCTCTGAGTGAGCTGCAGGAAGCTTCATGAAGCAGTTGTGGTGTATAAGAAATGAAGTAGTATGAACTAGTTTGTGGGACTATCTCCTGTCTGTATAAATTGTGCAAATGATTCAGCCTTTTAAGTTTAATTTCCTGATTACTCCTTTTGGATCATCTTGCAAGCATGCCCACCTACCTTCAGTATTTTTCAGGTCCTGCCTCAGGTCTTAGAATTGATATGGCAGTTCAATGTACTCTTTCACCCCAAGAAATTTTAGGTTGGAAATATACTGTCTCCAAACACTTCTGTTATACAGATGTTTTCTGGGACAAAATGCAGTGCTGGATAGGTGTAGCGTGGTCACTTTTGTGAGAACTTGGTGTGCGCATTTAATAGACAAAGTCTGAGAAATGTGGTGACGCTTTTACGTAGTCGTCCTGAGCTAGCTGTTCAAACTTTACTTGCAAATAGATAAACTGTATATTCCATGGTGCAGGCACCCATGAATGGGGAGGGAGATGAGGGAAAGTTACTTCCTTTGCAAGACACGTCCTGTAAGTGCAAAATCTGTAATGTACACATGAAGCCTAAGTCAGCTGTGTGCCTTACTGCTAACATGCAGCTGAGCTGTATGTGTACGCTGCCCAGGGTCAGCAAGCTGGGCTCTCTAAGCTTCTGCAGCCGGTAAAGAAGGATGGGATCTCCAGAGGGAAGTTTAGAGCAGGAGCTTCACATAGATATTCCAAATCTGTCTTCTGTCAGAGCCAGGCTTTCTACATAGGCCAAAGAGAAAGTCAACAACTCGAGCCTCTTGGCTTGGGTAGCTAGCTTACCCTTCTAAAGCAGAGGATGTGATCCCCCAGTCTCAACTGTATAGTGTTTCTTGTTAATTCAGTGGTATGTGATCATGGTTTCTACGTCTTTCCCCAAATGCATCTTTAAAAAGGACTTAAATATATTTATTTTACTTAGCTCATGCAGATATTATTGGACAGGAAACACTTCATGAATAAATTACTGTTTTGTAATTGGCAACAGACTTTGTTATACAGTAATTCAACAGAGCTTGATAATGAGTACCTAGCCTCAGACTGTAGGTCATTCACACTAACACTGATCAGGCAGTAACCTTCTATTAAACTTCAGCATCCTGTCTGCTAATTTGAATTCCCTAGTTGGGTGAAAAAAAAAATTTATAAGAAACGTGCAGCTGCTGTGGTGAAGTAATCTGTCTGCATGGTTGTGGACCAGAGTACCAAACGGAAGCTTCCAGCAGCTGCAGAATTTCACTCCCCTTCTTCCCTTTGTTTCTAAAAGGGCCCAGGTGACCTGTAGGGCCTCTCTTAGCTCCTGGCCTTTAACACATTGCCTGGCAGAAAGCTACACTAGTCACAATAGTGCTAAATTCAGTTCTGTCCTGATAGAGATAACTGTGACAAATAATGCCATGCTTCCACAAGGATGTGTTGCATTTTTTATTTAGCATGTCAACAAATATTAACAAGAGAGCCTCCCAGGAGCCTGTGTGAAGCTGGAGCATAATTGGATCCCCACAGAGTACAACAGGAGACTGATTTGGGAATCTAAGCATGTGCTGCTAAAGACAATGGGATGCTTCCTCACCAAGAGTGAGCACGTGCTTCAAATACTTTTCTGCATGGATGCCAAGGCAAGCTGCCTTGAGGCCTGCAGTTAGTTACCAAGTAAACCAGAACTGTTGCAGTTCTCCCTCTGAAAGTGAGGATGTGCAGTCAGTTCTCCTGCGTACGCTGTTGGAGCGGTTTATAGGCAATCAGGTGGGAGATTGCACCACCACTCTTGCATGTTATTTTGCTTTCCTGGGGAGCCAGCCCGCAGTGAATGAAGTGCACCTACAGCCCACACAAGGCTATGCAATCCTCAGGAAATAAGAGAACAGATTTGATGAAATCTTCTACGATTAATGTGTTGAAGACCTTTTTGAATGTATTTTTATAATGAGGAAGAGACATAAAGGAATTCTTTTGCAATAGTTACTGCAGCCTGATTTTTCACTTAGGGTGGGTGCTTGGAGCATTGGAAACTTACTGTTATTCTAAAGCAAAATAAATATTGCAGCTGGCACTGTAAAAAGCTATTAAGATCAGCTTTTTATAGTCACATAAATGGATTGGATTGGACTGGAAGGGAGCTCTGCATCCTTTGAGACACCTGCTATTCTACCCCCCCATCCGAGCTGGCTTACAGCATAAATGTTTGCAAATGACTGAATAGAAGTCATGAACTTCAAACTTAATCGTGTGAAGTTTTACTTGATTTTAAAAAAATGAAAGTATTGATTGTATTTTTCATGCATTTGTTCTCCGGCTCATTTGCCTACTTCTTTCACTTCATTGCTGAAAGGCAATGAGGAGAAGAAATACATGTTAAAATATTTGGGGATGCTGAGGGTATTGGGAACAAAATCTAAGGGGGGGATTTAGAAAAATGTGAAAAGATTCTATTAAAGGAGATATCTTTCGGTGGAGAGGAAAAATACTTGGAAAAACATCAACTCTTAGTTGTGCTCGTTAGCGACAGCAGTCACTTTGGGAGAAAAATGCTGTATCTTCAGAGAAGCAGAACCTGGAATGAGTAAAGGATGGGTAGTAGAGGAATGACAGGAGGTGGGTGGATGGATAGCTACAGATGGATACTTGGGAAGAATGTTCTTACAGTCCCCTTTATTTTGTGTGTATTTTCTTTATTCTGCCTTTCAGATTCTTCTAGTGCTTTTCAGTTCTCTTCTCAGCTGTTGACTTTCTCTTTTTTCCACTTGACAGTTCCTGTATAACCTTGTTCCTGCAAGTCTTCTTTCTCTTCACTTGTCAGGCTGCCAACAGCTCAGACGGTCCTGGTTCGTTCAATCCCTTGGTACTCTTTCAATCTCTACTAGTCCTGTTTCTGACTAACTCAAACTTTTGTTTAAAAGTTTTAAAAATAAATCATGGCTCTATCTGTACTTTCCGTGATTAGGTATTTGAGGCAGAGAGCTGTGATTGTGGAGAAATTATAGATTATCTTTTTCTTACGGAATTTATTGTATTGGTTGCTGTTCTTTGCTTACAGATGTTTCAATTTAAAGCTGGGGAAATAATTTTCATGTTGGATTTGAGTCATGATGCTTGGCTGACATTTACTTGCCTCTTGGAGCTGACCTAAATTTTGATCAGTGTTACCTCGTCTAGGGGCTGCTCAGCCCAGTGCTGAACACCCACAGCTCTCGCTCGCTGCTGCTGTTCTCCCAGGGGCTCACGGACAGTGTCACAAGTTTGCTGACTGTGTGCAGTGAAGAATTTGAGTTGCTCTTCAGAGCAGGGGAAAGGCTGCTGCATGCAAATCACAGCTTGAGGAATTTTAGCACCGTATGGGAATAAACATAGAGTATCCAACTCTATCACGCTCCTCATGCCTTGCAAGCAGTCTGCCAAGCCTGATACTGAAGTATTGGTGTAAATTGCTGTCTACATGTAAAGTGGTTAAAGGCAGTGCCAACCTTTACAAAGACACACTGCTTAATTTAAGTTTGGTTTAGGTAAAGAACAATTGTCCATACATCTTGATTTGAATTCACGTTGCAACTTTGAGGATGTACTGAGGCATGTTCCCATAGATCAGATTAAAAGCTTAAGAAGTTGGAACCCCTATGCTGAGACTTGAGAAGTGGCTATGTAGATATTCCAAGGATGTTTTAATGCAAAGGTAAACAGTTTAGCTTAAACTTGTGATGTTTCATTTGGAGTTTTGGGCTCCAGAATAATTTTGGAGAGGGAGGTGTGTCTGCAAAGGGAGGGCAATGACATTGCCTGACTAACCCTTCAGAGTGCACCTTAGTTCTTGGGGATCATGGTCTGCATAACAGCTTGTACCATGGACAAAGGCAAGCCTGCCCTGAGCTCCTGGAGAGTGTCAGCATCCGTCGCTTTCCTCCATAGCAACAGCTTGCTGTGGAAGAGCAATGACACCTGGTTGGTTGGTTCAAAGTGAAAAGCTAAGATGGCATAATTGTGATGTGAATGCGAAGTGCAATGTTGAGCTAAGCATTTACCTGAGAACGAGTGCGCGCTCTCTCGTGCTTTTGCATTTGTGTTTCTATATAAAAAAGTCTGAGATTCGTGACATTTTTTCCTGTCTTTTAGATTTTGAAAAAATCCTGTATAGAGATTCTGGCGGCAGAGCCTTCCAGTATATGTGCAGGAGGTAAGTATAAATTGAGGCTCTAGTTGTTCATGTTGCCTAAAATACATCTTTCTGTCCAGCTCTAATTGCTGGAGAGTGCAAAAGGAACTAATTAACCGGAGCTAAATCTTTTGCTTTTTTTGGGTGAATTTCTTTTTCATCTTACAGTAGCTTGTACATTTCCCATTTCTGCCAAATGATGTCAAATGAGATTTTCTTACAGAAAATGCTTGAATTTGACAGTTCTGCTGAACTGTTTTTCAGTCAAACAAGTTTGTTTTACTTGGACTTTGCCAAGCTTGAAGTAGATATGCTGCAAAATTACAAACCAGATTGGAAAATAAGACTTTGATTAGGTTTAGAGTTTTGCAAATTCTCAGAGGATTGTTGAGGGAAGTGCTTCTTAAGAAACTACCAAGAAAGTCAAACAAGCACACTTTGATCTAAAGGCTTCTAGTCTTCTCTGAACATTTCTTGGGCGTTTAGGATTGATACAGTGACGGAAGAGTAGAATTTAAACATCGTTCAGCTGACTTGTGTGAATCGTACTGCCTCTTCTTTGTGTGCTTGTTCTTATACAATCAAGCTATGTAAACTGTGGCTTTAAAGTGCAGGCAAGCATTTCTACATTTGGCAGAACCCAGCGTTTTTTGAAGAAAATTTGAGAACCATTTTGTCCTCTTCCATCTGCTTCATGTGAATTCTTCACCTTTTATGAAGTGTATCCTAACCGTTTGTTGAATGTGTAGCAACTCATTAAGTAGAGAGGTTGGGAGCAGAGCTGAGGTTTGTAGAGAAGGATGAATCCCTGACAAGTTTGGCATCTTCCTTTTTCTTAAATCAACAGTCCAAATAAGAAAGTCAGTTATTGTTACTTTTTGTTTTCACTTCCAAAGCAGCTGCTTTAATCAACCTTCCTGCATCCTCCTGTTCCTGGAGCAACTGCCTGTATACCTAAACATATATGTAGCCGTATTTGCCTAGCAGATGCAAGACACCAGGGTAAATGCCCAATAAGTACCAGGCATCAGTTTTGCATTCCATGCATGCCACTACAGTACTTTTTGGGTTTTTGAAGCTAGGATAGCATAACTGACATGAATTATAGTACTTAGTCATCTATTTCTTATTTTGGCTGGCCAATTAAATAGTTCTTGTCTTAAGGTTCCAAAACAGGACTCTGTCTACCTTAGCATGGTAGGTGATTGTTGTCGTGACAGTCTCTGATATAGTGCAGTGATGTTCCATAAATGCTTGGGAAAGAAAATGAAATTGTATGAAGATTCAGATCCCCTTTACACACTTAATTGATTTTTTTTTTAAAAAAATGTATATTTATGTACTTACACAAATGATAAACAATGATGCTTATGTAATGTCATAAGCTGGAAGATGACTTATAACCATCTTTAACACTTTCTAATATGCTCATCAGTTCCTTATACATCTTCTCACTCCCATTCAATGGGTTTTAATGAGAATGTAGGGATAACGTATAGCTGTATCCAGCAGAGCAGCTAGGAGGAAGTGTAGAGGGGGTTTTACATAAACCATTCACATTGGAATTTGGCCAGTACTTTACAGGAGGAGCAATGTTAACCTTGAAAAATGCCAATGGTTATTTAGATGCTTGATTCAAGGCCTAACCTCAGAGTTCGGGCAAAGAGTCCATTGCTTTTGAACTGCAGCTAATTGAATCACTTAGGACTTTGAGACTAATGAAAGTGCCATTGAATATGAAAGTTATGCGCATTAGTCTTTTTAAAATAAATTTTTGCAGGTATAGGTCTGATACCTTGTGTTTTCTTGATTCTGTGGACATCCTTGGTGGCATTACCTCAGGCCACTCTTGCACTGCAGACTGATCCCAGACACTTGAGTAATGAATTTCAGCAGCAACACATCATTCTGAAATGCCAGTTTCTTGATGATCTGGTTTTGCATCGGTACAGACATGCAGGGTGCCTACTGTATGTGTTCGTTTCAGTCTCAAGCAGAGACAGGATCCCCGTGGTTAATCTGACATCATTGATACGCTGTTCTTTGACTGTACTTGAACTCTCATTCCCCAGCAGTTGAGACTTCTGTGATTTCTCTTAAGTATTCATCAACCCCCACACTCCAGAACAGAGCTCTTCTCCCCTGTTCTTCCCAAATGCTCTTGGACAACCCATAATAGGCCTGTGAGGCAGCTTCCCTGGCTAGATGTGGTGGGATGATTTGCAACTTGGCTGTAAATGAGTGGGACCTGGAAGAGAGCCCAGATTCCAGAGAAAAATCTGCTTTTTTTGACAAGTACAGTGTGTGAGTCCTTAAGGGAGATGAAAAAAAATGGGGACTGTAAAGTGGAAGGGGAAAACTTTGAATCTGCAAAAACTAGGCTCCTTGTTTCTCCTGGGAATTTTAAAACCAGGGTGGTGTTTCTGATGCACTCTGATTACTCCTGCATTTTCTTGGACAGTGAAACATGTTGTGTTCCAACCTCATTCACCAGCGAACGATCAGTGGGGATTATCTGAGTGCCTCTCCTAGATAGTAACAGGAATTGTGGGGGCTGTTTCCTTTGCCATGGGGAACTGTAGAGTTTGAATCTCTCTCTGCTGCCAGAACTTTTCTGGGACTATGGCCTTCTTTCAAAATCTGAAAGTCTGAAAATGGTGCTTTCCTTGCAAGGCAATCTTAATGCTGGTGGCTGCAGGAAGTTCGTAAACCTTTCCCAGTACTAGGTTCAAGTAGTTGGAATAACGAGGGATGGTAAAGAGTAGTCTGAAAGACTTGTGAAGATATGATCTCATTGCTCAGCCCTGCTTGTTCCAAAAAGGACCGCTCAGTTCAGCAGTCAGGTGTAGATGCCTGTCCTCGATGCTTTCTGCTTGTACTGCAGCTTGCGGTGACCTTGCAGAGTTGATCTGGAAAAATAGCAAAGAGGAAGACTTGGGGAAATGCCCATGGACTTGGAGGTCATAGCTGTTGTCCAGAGATTAGAAAGCTGGTCAGTTGATGAAATCCCCTGTCACTGTATGGAAATTTGTCCAGTCAAGGACTCACGGCCATTGGGCAGGCTAGTAGGGCAGGATGTGACAAAACTCTCCAACTGATACAATTTTGCAGTTACCTAGGCAAGGAGCAGTTAAACTGCTCCAAGTTATCTGTCACTGGAAGATTTTTTTTTTCCTTTCCATGGAAAAATACTTTTGTCTTTTTTCACCCAAAACCTTCTGGTATTTAAAATGGCAACGCTCAGTGTCCCTAAAGTTTAATGTTTTCACTGCAGGTCAGTTAAAATGTTTCTGTTGTGCATTATTTCCCGTTTCTAAAAACTCAAGTTGAAATTGGGTAAGGAGCGGGTGGAAGTTCAGTTTTTAACAATTTTAAACTTAAAAAATGTTCAACTGCAAATTTTAGCTCAAGAGATCTCAAATGAAAACTTGATATATGTGCCTTGTCTAAATGATCATTCTTTGCCTTGCTATGTGTCAATAATCTACTGTCTCCTTTGCTACAGAGTCGTTTCAGGTTGTTGTGAGAGGAAATGGATTTCGACATGCCCGTAATGTTGACAGAGTGCTCTGCAGTTTCAGGATCAATGACACAGTTACTCTCAGTAAGCAGTTTTGGTTGTTGTTTTTTTTTCCTGTACACCATTGACTCTGCACTGGCAGACATTTGCTTGCAAAACGTTTTGGATCTTCAAATATGTTGACTGTGAAGGTAATAATTATGGAATGAGGAGCTATTAATTTGCAGAATGCACAAGAGATTATTTTAGAGGAAAATTGCTGATGGTATTGTAAGCTGCAACTCTGACAGCAAGTATGTGAATAGATAAGCTTGAGCAGTGGAGGGGACAAAATATAGAAGACAAGAAACTTGCCTGTAAAAAGTATCTGTATGTGTCTTGCTGGGTTAAGTCTGTAGTGAGATCAGGTCTGTTTCTCTCCTTACCTGTATTTTGTGGTCCTTAGCAGGCCTGGTCATGCAGCTTAAATAAACACTACTATTGGAAGCTGTATTGGAGCAGTGGTGAGGCAGTGCTGTGTTTCTGTGGATGCAGCTTGGAAAGATGTTTCCTCTACAGAGTTCACCCAGCAGAAGAACTGAAAGGAAGCAAATTAGACCCTGAGTGTTTGGTCTTTGTGAAGTGTACTGAGAGCCATTTACTTGGAAGAACTAATGATTCTATTGTTCTCATCTGGCATGCCCACAAACACACATAGGAAACAAGATAGCATAACTCATAGCTAATACCACCAGTGACAGTAGAATTCATCTTTTCTAAGATGGTATCTGTTCAGAAGCTGCCTGATCATTTTGGAGGTGGTCCTGACCCTTTCGAGGATATAATAAATGCATGAATTTTTCTTGCATGTGGAAGTCTAATGGCTCAATGTTGGACTTGCTCGTGCTTTGAGCATCTGTGTAATTTGCTCTTCGGAGCAGGGAAGGGGTTTGCTAAGGCTGTTTGCCCTTTGAGAAATGCCAGTGAGCATTAGGGCAGGTGTAGGACAGTGAGTGTACATAATTCATCCTGAATGACTTTTGTACTGTTATGCTGGCCTCCTCTGTAGTAGGCAGGTTCCAGAATTGCTGACCCTTGTGTCATCATAATTTTATAACAGCTTTCAGGAAAGATCAGCTTATCTTAGTGCAACCCGTGGGCTTTTTTGTTTGAAGCTGTCTTCCTATGTCCACAAAATGACTGTTGAAAATGAGAGTAAGGACCAAATATGTTTCCTGTCCTCTGACCTGATGCATTCATTGTGTCCTGAATCGATGCATCAGTGAAAAGTGAGCTCATTTTCCTTGGCACTGCACCAAGACTTCTCAGTTTGTTTTCACAGCCCCAGATTGATGCAGTGACCTGGAAGCAAGAGGCCACAATCTCAGTTTCTGAGTTCAAACCATTCCCTGATTGAGGGAACTCAACAGTTGCTCATCAATGTTCTCAAACCTAAGTCTCTCCTGGTGGGAACTGGCACAGCTAAGTTAAGTTTAAGTTGCTCTATGTGAGAATGTGGCTCAGTGTTTCGCTTTACTGGAGCCTGCAGCTCCAGCCTGCGTTCTCAGTGTGCTTCTGTGGCACTTAACTGCAAAGAGCTTACCATAAGAGTTAACCGAAGGAGAGTTTTATGGAGACCTTATGGGGATTGGATAGCTTAGCTGGTTTTGTTTGCTTGAAACCTCTCGGCCTCTAATTGTATCAGAGGGGGAGGTATTTTTAAAGATAACAGTAAGCCAACAGTTCCTGAAACCCTAAATTATCCCAGATGAGATGTAGACCAGCACAGCTAGGACTTGCTGAGGTTAAGGGCATGAGCTAATAGATTTTTATCGGGATTATTGGCAGTGAAAAGTGGCAGGTGAAGAGAGCATCAGCTCATAATGTTCATAGCTATGGGATTAAAAAAAAGGAACATCTGTAGAAACCATGAAGAACATTTGGCTGAGCAGAACGGTAATCAGATGAGTGTTCAACAGCAGGGTGTTTTCTGCCAGCACCAGGACCTAGGAGAATTGGTTTCAGACTGCACAGAGTTAAAAGTAATTATCCAATGCAGTGACTTATGACTGCTTTGTGGTGCTAAAATGTCTTTGTCTGCTCAGATTGTGCAGGATTGAGCAAAGATAGTTCTGGGCATAGAGGCAAGCTCTGTCCTAGGCGATTTAAAACTGAAAAGAGAGGTGAAAGATGGGCGAGGAAAGAGCATGCACCACAGCAGAGGTGGGGCTAGATCTTTTACATTTTAGTGAATGCTCTGGATGCTTGGGAAAAACTGATCCCTTGCACAAACTAGTCTGATTTTTTTTTTTCCTACCACTGAGTACCACAAGCGAGGGGAAAATGAGGCAAAGACAGTGGGAGCAGGACTTTGCCAGGTGTCAGCGGAGAGTGAGCTGTATAAGGAACTGTATCCAAAAACTGCTCAACAAATGCCTTCTAAAAATTGTCTTCTGTTTTCAAAGTCTAGCATGTGCTCCATTTTCCCCATCTTTCCTTTTTCTGGGCAGCAGAGTACTTTTTCTTGTGATACCTTCTTTACTTTCTCACAGCCTGCTCACTCTTAGCACAGGAACGTTTTGCTTTGCAGCTTCACTTTCCGATCTCCAATTTCCCCACTTGAATCCTCTACTGAATCTTTTCCTTTTATTTACTTATAGTACCTTTTCCCTCTTTCTACTGTGGTACTAGAGAATGTCCATCACTGGGTACCAACTCCATCACATGTTCTTGGGAGTGTAACCTTTATGAAGGACACAACCTATGCCTCTAATTTTTCCTAGGTGAAAACATACACCAAGGTGGGCTTGGCATCCTATTTTTGAAGGGTGGCCTGCATCGTTGCTTGACAAGGAATATGAGAGCAGAGGAAATGGTCACGCTTCCCTCAGATGCTCTCCTAGCTTCCAACAAATTGCACTGTAGGAACTTTTAAAACATAATTCCTGTGCATTTACCTCCAGTAGATTTGTCTGCAGCTGTCCAGGCTGAGTGTGGAGGAACAAGCACAGGGCAGTCGGGGAAACTTGGGCTGAGGGACAAGGAGAATCTGTGCAATGTGGAGTGTTTTACCAAGCTCACTTATTTATACTATGTGCTGCTGGAGGACCAAGATGGTCTCTCACTGTGACATCAGTGTATCTGTGCAAAGAAGCATGATGGAGCTTATGGGAACAGCTCTGAGATTGGAGTGGGGCTGTTGCAGTGCTGGCCCAAAACTCCTGCCTGGGAGTGACCCTGTGTACTGCAGCGTGGGCTGCTCTCCTGGGCTGCCACTTGTGAGCATGAGCAAATTAATAGTGTGGTGCTTTGCCAAGTTCTATTAGTAGTCTTGAAGCTATGTGTGCTTGTTGAACAGAATAGTAGGCATAGCAGATGAACCCCTCAGAGAAAAAACGATCCCTTCCAGATTCCTTTTCTCCATCTAGAGATTGTTGTGAATGTGATATCATTGTTCTGTGCTTATCTGTCTCTTCCCCCATCCCCTGACTCTCCTCTGAATGGCTTTGGCATTCAAAGCTCATGTGTCCCGACACAAAGCAGAGCAATTATAGCATGATCTCAATATGGTTTTCATTACAGTATTAACAAAACATTTCTTATTTATGGGTCTTCCTTGTAGGCAGTCTCTCTAGCTCAGAGACTGTTCCAGTGTCTTTCTACATTCCTATCTCTCCACAAAATGGGTTTGAAATAAAAACTTTGCTTGCAGAGTTGTCACAAGGAGTGGCATAAGAGGAGGAGTCAGCCAGGATGAGCAGAGATTGTGCTTTGGTAGGTGATGCAGAGACTTACGGAGGTATTTTTGTCTCATCTGAGGTGACAAAGGGACAATGGAAGTGCTCAGGCTCACGAAGGCTCAGGGCTACCAGTCTCCGGTGGGCTGAGGTACAGAGGAGGAGAACAGCCTTCTTCACACAGATGTTCTTGAGGGAGTCTTGTGTGAGTGAGAGCAGCCAGACTCCCACCCCCAGTGTGGCTGTACTAGTCTAATAGACCAGAGTCTTCTCTCCCATAGTAACAGAAGACTAGGTCAAAGTGTTTTCTGAGATGTACTTTAGTTGAACACAAATCATAAATAAAGGGATAACCGAAGGAAACTGTTAGTCTGTGATATATGGGAAGTTTGGCAAACAGCTTTTGCAGTCGTTTCTGGACTGAAATGTTGCTGATATTGTGAGCCCAACAATTTGCGATATTGTGGTGGCAATTTGAAAACGTGGTGCTTTCTTAAACCCTTCTGTAAGGGATCTTTGCAGTCAGTTTTCAGTAAGCCAGTCAGTTCTTGGATGAACCATTAACTGAAGCAAAGGCTGTTAATTTTAGCCTGGTTACATGGCTATAAGAAGGTACTACTATCCGTCTTGGTCACCTTCTCTGGGTTTTTGTACCTCTCTTTTAATGAGGTTTGCTCTTCTGTGTTAAAACATCATGCATACATTGAGGCTTTTATTATTACGGTTGGGAAGAACTCCAAGTCCTGGCTTGCCAAAAGGTTACACCCTGCTAATGGCAAAAGAAGCTATTCACTAGTGCTCGGAATAATAGATTTTACAGGCTACAGATAGTTGTTAAAAGGTGTAGGAATGCTGGGTAGCGAATTGCAGGAATTTGAGCAGGAGAAAGTACTTTGTTGAAAGGGCATCCACAGAAAACTTTTGCGAGATGTTTTACTCTTCTCTCTTTCTGCATGCTGCTCTGAATGGCTTATGCCTCAGGACTGACTGGTTTTAGTTGCCCATGTGTGCTGTGTCCTGTGGGTTTTTAATACAGTGAGAACTTTATTTTGCTTGGTGGAATGATTAGAGATGCATAGGTAATGAACAAATTTGTGCAGTCAGCCCCAATGCTGTGGGCAGACTTTCTCAAAGGTGAGGCATTGCAATATTTCCTGATGATGTCCAAGATCTGCCTGTGATTGGTGTCTGAAATGCGATCAAGACCCGAGCATCCTTTCTGTAAAATTGGCAAAGGGGGAAAAGTGGTGGTTACACAGCCAGCTAGCGGCCGAGCCGAGAACAGAGATCACTTCCTGGGCAGCAAAGGCAGCGACATCAAGTCGAGCACTCCGCCCCCCACCTTCCACAGCTCTTCCACTAGTATTGTCAGCTGAGAGGAGTCCAAACCACAAAATTCAGATTTTGGCACGAGATCTAGAGTTTGGGAGCGTTCAGGCCCATCTCTTACTGTACAGGAATACGGCAAGCCTTCCCTGCACCAGACGAGAAGAGCGGCGTTCTTTCAACTGCATCCTGCAG